GTCGGAAACTTAAGGGAAAGTAAGAATTCCAAGCTCACTGGACTCATTTTTACTCTTAAAGAGCCTATGTTTGTACAAGGATATTTCTGTTTTAGGTCAATTCTGTGCTGAAGCTATTACTTAGAACCTTTACCCCAAACACAAAAGAAGAAGATATCAAGCAGATAACATGGGCTTTTGTCACATGGCGGCCATATCAATTTCGGTTTTCTGGGCTTTTCCGTCTGCTCTCAGGCAAAAGCCGTTTTGGGTTATGAATCGTCTTTAAAGTGCTGTACTCGATTGTCGAAAATGATGAGAAGCTTCCGCTAACAGTTTTGCTTTGCCGTCATTATTTTTGCCAATGGAGTGCTCGTGTGAGCTGTACGTTCGAGAAGAATAAAAATGTAATCATCTAATTCCAGTCCTAGCATTGTTTAACCCTAAAACAGGAAAAAAAAAAACGTAAATAGTTTGATGTAGAGGCTCAAACACAGGGCGCAGAGGAGTTATTTGTGACCTCGATTGCAGTTTTAAAATCATGATGTTACAGTTGATAGCGCGATTCGTCTTTGTTTACCGCAGAATCCAATGTGAGCTTGACCTATCAAACTGTCATGCGATTAGCTGCTGTTATTCGTTCACAGTCATTACCTTCAGCGGTTTTCCGGAGCATGGCATAATATTTTATCAGGTTTATAACACCAAATGACGGTTTGCTCGATTCAACAGTATAAAAACAAAGGCGATACCAGGGTATCAACTGCAACCTCGATCCGTCAAAGAATAAGTCTGGTTTTGATCTCAGTAGAACACAACGGAAGATTTTAAGTGTCTTCATAACAAACAACAGTAGATTTTTTCAGATCAGTTAATAATAATGATAATAATAATGGTAATTGAAGTGCTTCTATAGCGCTATTTACATAAAAATGATCAGTAGTGTTTTACAATAATTCACGTAAAAATCTATTCTAAAATGATATAACCGTACAATGCAAAATGTGAAATGTAACATGCAATTGACTGAAAATTAATTAATTAATAAATCAATGAAATAAAGACGTTGTATAATACAATAAAATCAAATTAGCTAAAAAAAGGTCCATTTACGTTTAAAAATAGTTAATGATTGAAATTCGCGCAATTCAGCAGGCTAACCATTCCACAAACATGGTGCAGCAGCATAGAAGGATCTGGCATCAAGCGTAGAAAGCATTTTCTCTTTAGGCGGCTCAAGTAAAAGACTACTATTTGATTTAAGATTGTAAGAGGACTTCGATCTAACACTAATTAAATCCCTGATATATGGTGTTGCAAGTCCGTGAATTGCCTTGAAAACTAAAATTAATATCTTAAAATGAATTCGAGCGCGAACTGGCAGCCAGTGAAGATCTTGAAGTGCTGGAGTAATATGAAAATACTCGCTGATGTTCATAGCGATTTCTAAATACGTTTCAATTTGACAATCCGTGACTTTGGTTAACCATACAAAAAAACTGTTACAGTTCTTCACTAAGCTGGGAAAACTATGTAAATTCAATAATTTTGGTTGTTTTTGTGTCGATGGAAGGCTCGTTTTGTAAGTAAAACAAATTTCATTAATTTTTGTTCTCTTCTTTGTGTGTAGGATTGCAGAAATGGAGGAGACGCATCAGGAAGTCGTGTTAAAGTTACGAGAGGACATGAAGAGAGAGGAAGAAAAACACATTTCCCGCGCAGTGGCTCAAGTGAGATCTGAGGAAGAGGAAAAACAGCATGAGATGATGCATGAATTTAAACAAAAAGAGCGAGAGCGGATACAAGCAGCAGTGGATGCGGAGAGAAAGATCATGGAGTCACAACATGGTAGCGTTACCCAATTACAACAGGTACTGAACAAATGCTTAAAGGCCTTTTTCAAAAATACCATAATACTCTTTGTTTTCCCTCCACATAAGCATTGTTTTCAATTTCTCTTGTGACTTATAATCGCCCCAAGAGAAATTGAAGGAATGCTTAAGCAAAAGTTTAGAGGGACAACATCCAGGACTATGATATTTTTGAAAAAGGCCTATTTGCGGAGATGTCAGTCACTGGAAATAAGCCATCAAATTAAAAACAACAGTGGGAGCTGCCAACAAATTAAGTAAACAGTAAAATAACCGCTATTTAGGGACGAGGGACGGTTTCACCAGTGTAAACCCCGGGACCCTCCCGCTCCGTATATTTATAGCCAAGAGGGCTGCCTGTAACGTAGACCACGAGCGATCGGCCCGTGGCAAGCGTTTCCGCGCGAATTCGTTGAGAAAGTTGGGAGGTTTGCTACGTAGGCTACTAAGAGCCGCGCACCGTGTGCGAATAAAAAAGACTTCTCGCAGGCCAGGGTTGGATCGGCGGTAAACTGAGTTACTAAGTTTTCTATGCAGGTACTTAATGAACGACAGAAGGAGTTAGAGAAGCACAGAGTTGCCTTGGCAACAGCAAAGTCCCAGTACGAAGAAGCTAAAGATGGATTACACAGAGCTAAGGAGACTGAGGTACGTTCTTCAAAGTTAGTCTTTCTGCACCTCTCGTATTTATATCCTCAAGCTGAAATACCGTTTTCCCTTACTGTTTGATAACCGCCGCCTAGTTAACTCAGTTAGGAGAGCGCCGGACTGCTGAGCGGGAGTCGCGGGTTCAAACCCCGGCCGGACCAAAACTCAGGGTCTTCAAAATAACTGAGGAGAAAGTGCTACCTTTGCAATGACGTCTGCAAACGGTTAGACTTTCTAGTCTTCTCGGATAAGGACGAAAAACCGTTACCTGTTTTTTGCCAAAAAATGAACTTAAATTTTCCTATTACGGTTGCCTATAACGAATTGCGATTTGTAATTCAGCAAAGAGTGGATTCCACAATTGAAAACCAAAAATCGGTCTGAAAGATAGGTTTTTATTGTATGTGTTTATTAGACGCGACAAGACGCTGTTAAATAACGAAATGGCCGAACTTTCTCCTTAGGCGTACTTACGAAGTCAGCTTCAGGAACAATCCGCAGCCTACAAAGAACAGCTGGCTCGTGTTGAACGTGAGAGAGAAGAACTGCGGAATTATAAAGAAGACGAGGTCGCTTCTTTCAAGGTAGCTTTAGTACATCATCGTTAAAATGTGACTTGCTAATACTCAATAAACGGTCGATCATTTAGGGTTCTTATCATCTTCATCAGTCCTCTTCGTTCAGCCCTCTTCGTGACCGAGTGGTCAGCGCGTCGGACTCGCAATTCCGCGGTCCCAGGTTCGAGTCCCGCTCTGGCCACTTGTAGGATTTGTTCTCGGTCTTCCCGAGTCCAGCGGCTGGCGATTTTTTGCCAGTTTTGCCACTTTCGCCAATGCATGCATGGCGATTTTTGCCAAAATCGCCAATTTCGCCAAAATCGCCATTTTCGCCAAAATCGTCAACCTCCAAGGGGCCACTTTTGGCATCCAATTCAAATCGCCAGCAGCTGGCGATTTTTCGCCAGTTTCGCCATTTTCGCCATTGCATGCATTTCTGGACATAAGTGCGAAGCTTGTAAATAGCCAACTGGTTGCCTCCCTGTTGGGATTTTTTAATAATCGTATGTTGTATTTGAATTCTTTGTTTCTAAGTATTGGGTGGAGTGCCTGTAAAGTAGCTGGATAAGCTAAATGCAGTTTCCATTATAAACAATCCTTTAAACCTTTAAACCCCACTAGTTCTTACAATTTGACTCTATTTTGATTCAAACCATTACGTCCTCTCCCCTCATGTTCTTACATCCTTGTGCGCTTCAAAGTGTGTCTTAGCCTGCGAACAGCAGACGTATTTCCGGTCGTCGCTAAGTGTGTCTGGGACTCCCCTGTGGGATCCATTAAAGAGTTGTCTTGGCCACTTGTTTGTTTGGTCTCCTCAGTGTTTTGCCAATCCACCGCCATGTTCGTTTTCTTATCTCCTCCTCTATCGGCCGCTGCCCTGCCTGTCTCCACAACTCTTCATTTCGGATTCTTTTGGGCCACCAAATCCGTCGGATCTTGCTTAGGCACTTGTTAATAAACACCTACAATTTCTGCTTCAGTTAATTCGTTGGTCAATCTCTAAGTTTCTGCACCACACGAATGTAGGGCCATTTGGTAATTTTTCAACAGGTTTTTGTGTGTCGGAGTTAACTCAATATATTCTGATTTATAAACTGTCCAATATGAGTGTCGGCCGAAGCGAGCGGGGATGCTGCGCGTGACTCCCCCAAATGGAGAGGTGAAACCCAGTTTACTCAATACCCCAGTGAAGCAATTCAGTGATTTTGTTAAATCGACCTCGCACGATTACCCGACAAACTCAAATAGAAAAGTTATCAAGATATTACAGAGATTACATCGTTGTCACCATTTGTTTATACACTTACAGGAACAAACTCGACAACACGCAGTAACGATAGTGGCAATGGAAGAAAGGCTGTTAAGACTGACTCGGCAAAATCGACAGTTGGAACAGGAGGCAATGCACGCTAAACAGACCACAGGTTAGTAAAATGCTCGTTCGATTGAATTTCGTAAATACTTTTCACCATTAGCTGTTACTGAGGCCACGTTCACACGAATCCTGACATTTTTAAAACCGCATCTTTTCTTACTCGGATTCGTGTGAACGGGGTGACATAAACCAGTCTGGCGAGCGTTTTCAGCGAACAAGAGGTGGTTTCGGTTGGCGGATTCACTGGTTTCGTGTGCACAAAAAGGCTAATTCGTGCAAAAAAAAGGATGCGGTTTCAAAAAATAACCGGATTCGTGTGAATAGGGCCTAAAGCTGTTGAACTTGGCCTACTTGTTTCTAACCAGTGTTTTGTCATTGGTTTTAGATATGATTTGAAGAAATAATATTGTAACGAGCTTCTACAACTGAAAATGGCATAAGTTTGCAGAAACATGTCTGGTTAATTGAAAACTGTTGTGTTATTTCTTCAAATCGTAACAAATTTCTACTATCAAGTCCGTGTTAGATATGAAAAGTCAAAAAAGGAGTACACCATTGTTCTTTCAAGCGAACCTGTTTTCGTTTACGTTTTGGGAAAAAATATCGGTTTCCTTTCAGAGAACACATTTTTCTGCTTTTCAATTTTTGTAGTATTGATTTTATTTTCTCTTTGCTCCCATTCTCTGATGTGTTTTTAAGTCCTTAAAATAATCCAATGCTCAAGACACGTTAATCCTTCTTTTCAGTGGAAAAGATATAAAATTCCCAAGAGTCCGCGAAAAATAAAAGATCTGTTCTTAGATTATTTATAGCTGGTTTATTTTCAGACGTCTAAGCTTGAGTTCTAATTTTAATGAAGACTGCTTCTAAATCAATTAGCTTTGAATAATTAAGGACAGACTTAGCATTCAACATATAAATTGTTTTGTTTCTTTTTATCGACACTCGAGATCTGTTATACAGTGTTTAACGTCAACTTTTTTAAGTATCGTAAGAGGCCTTAACTGACTACTTTGGTGGTATGTTAAACTATTTATGAAAAATTAGTATCTCCCTTTTGGTATTGGAAAACGTTGAAAGCAAAATTCAGAGAACTTTCTTTGTTCTCTGTTGCTTTGCATTTGTACATTAAATGATCTGATTGCGCACGACTTTTTAATGGATGTTAACGGTACTCTATTTAGCCCTTAAATCGTTATGTATCACTTAGGCAATGTTAGAAATTAATTTCGTATAACGATCGTTCTACTAAAAAGTGAGAAAGTTAGATTTTGTCTGTTAAATGAACACCGTTTGTTATATAAGTATTCTCTCCGTTTTCTTTCAACTAGGAAAGACGAATTCTGTCTTGTCAAAATTAAAACATGAAAGATGTATATTTTAAAAGACAGTCCCTATAAAGGAATCGTTGCATTATATTACGGTTAACTATACAAATCCGGTTTGTATATAACTTTAGCTTTTCAGTGTAAATACTTTTCGTTTTGTCCAAGTCTGTCAGTAGGTTTCTGGCCTGTTCCATGATCCGAGATAGCCGGATACGCGAAATTGAGATCACGCGCTCACATTTCGCGTGCCTTTCACTTACGCGTCATTCTTACTAGCTGAGAGCCTGGAACAGGCCAGTAGGTTTGTGTACGAAGAAAATGTTTGTGTTGTGTTTGTTTACTGCTTGTTTGATGAAGCAAAACAAAAAAGTGGATGCGAACATTAGGTGAGGACGTTTTGTTTAACGTAAGTTTATGGACAGAAGAGTGAAAGATATCATTTTTTGCAGGCAAAATCAGACCGACATCCCCGCGCAAAGAATCATCCCGACCCTCCTCCCCTAAGAAAGATCCTATGAACTCCTCTAGACCTCAGTCTCCCAGAAAAGAACCTAAACCCCAGACGAGATCAGTCGAGACGGAGACTGTGCCTCAGACAAGCGTGGAAGCCACTCTGCAGTCAGATGTCTACAAACTGGAACAACTGGTCTTGTTACTAAGGTAACAGCCACTGCAGGACCGTATGTAAACGCAAAGCGAAATACTTGAATCCTATTTTCCTTTAACGCATTCAAAGCAAAGTACCTCCTGAAAAAAGTTGTCTCCGGATATGGCAGTTGCTGTGGTTTCATGATAAAGGAATGAAATCACAAGCAATTTCCGAGTTCCAAAACTCTCACTTTGAAAACGAAGCTAAGGGCGCTCAGTCCATTTGTCGGAACTGGCAGGCTGCACCATTGCCGGACCAGTCAGTTTGAAAATGAAATGGCCTTTTCAAGAGTTTTTGTGGAAAAACCATCTTTTTCGTGCACTCTATTCAGTATTTGACTGATCTAGCTGGATAGTTTTGATTAATAGTGAAATTCTCGTTACGACGGGAAGGTGCTGGCCGCTCAGTTTTGACAAATGGAAGCACCCTAAGTGTTTTATTTCAGTGCATGGGAATAAAATCTCATTTTCATATCAGTGGCTTCAGCCATAGCCTCACTTTGAAACAGAGGCTTGGGGCAACTCGAAAATGGCCTTCTACAGGTCTTACACACTCTCAAACTATACCTTGAGCATCATTTTTTTAAAGTAGATTGTTTCTATGATGTACTGCTTTATAAAATTCAGCATTTATTGCTAACAATATATTTTTCAATTGCTCCAATATGGATTAATTCTGAATTCAACTTTGACTGCTTTCAGTCCGCCTTTTCCCTTACAATCCGTCCAGTTCTTATCCCAGTCAGGGCAATTGCAAACGACGTTGCGCCCTCGCCTGCATAGGTTACGAGTATAGTTAATTTGCAATGAATACACAGACTACACAAGATCTTTTAAAGACTGCGATATACGTTTAAACACTTTTTTTTTCCCAAAAAACACATATTTTTTACCTGTTGTCTCCTTCGATGGCCTTCAAGAAATAATGAATTTTTGTTCTTTTTTTGTAACATCATTTGTATACAAATCGGAGAATAAAAGAATTAGACTACTAGCAGTCTTTCTTTTTTCTTGGTCCGTGACTGCTCGCAGTCTATAAAAGAATAAAAATAAGTGACGTTCAAAAAGAATCCCAATAGGTTAACTAAATAAGTCAAATTCAAAAGGGAGGGGCTGGACTTATAAGCACGTGGCCTGCTGGGACCCAGACCCCTGAAACATTTTTTTTTTTTTTTAGACGCGAAGCGACCCAAGCTAAGAAAGAGGCTGAAAGTCAAGGAGATGTGGTACAAGCATTAAGAAGGGATCTGGCGGGTGCTGCAGCACGCATGTCTGATATGGCCGGCGAGTTAAGCGATAAACAGAAACAGAAACTGGAACAATACGAGGAGAGGATACTAGAGCAAGACACTGAGCTGGAAGAACAAAGAAAACAGCTCGTGCAGCTGTCTGCATTGGTGGATGAACAGCAAAAGGAGATTAACTCCAGGGAAGACAAACTTAGTGAACAACAAAAGGTAGGTGACGTTTGTAAGATATGTAACTCTATTGCTGAGAGTCTTCATTGGTGGTGATGTAAGACCATGAATACACACATATTATTATGTTTAAAATATCTTGAGTGCTGTCTAGATCAGGATAATATGATTCAAGATCACTCGGGTTGCCAACTGAAGAGAAAGTGCCTTTGTTATGTCATCTGCAAAAGGACAGGGGCACCCAACGAGAATATAGTTCAAAACCACTTAAAAATGGCATTGTTTTAACGTATTTTAGTATTTAAACGGTAGATATAGGCATTTTTTATCCCCTAAAATTTTTTAATCTGTGTGGATTTCCTAGCTGAAAGTCTAGTGACCCGAAAATTATAGGGATTAAAACTTACCTTTTTGAACATTTCAGCTAGGAAAAAGGCTCCAGAAAATTCTCGGTGACCTTTTTAGGGTAAAAAGTCATTAGAAATGGGCAATTATACCATTTTTTAGACGTTCGAAAATCCTAGGAGAGGCAGGCGAGCAAGAAATTTTACAACATGTGTTCCGAAAATTCTAGATCTCAAATCGTCTTCTGAATAGATATTTTCCTAAAATTGACGTTGGGTGCCCCTGAAAGGATAAGGAGAAAAAACCGTTTGCTCTGTATGGCAGCAGCCTTTGTTCACATGAAAACTGTGAGACTTTTTTTTATTGTTCATCACATTTACCGACTACAGGAAAAAACGTTTAAACTGAATTAATCGTTGAATTACTACAGTGCAAAAGAAATAAAGCAGTACAACAACGTAATTTAATTGATATAAAGTTAACTTAAATTTTGTTTTTTTGTCATGAAAACTGTGGGACGTTAAAGAATCCACACATAAAAGTGCATTAGAATCTGAAAAGCAAACTTGTTGCAAGGAGCGAAATTAAAGGCAACCGTAAAATGAAAAGCGGGTAAATCCCGTAACAGCCGCGTAGATAACGTTGTCTCTCCCCAGTCTGTGCCCGTTCTTTTTTCACCGTAGTTTTTCTACTCGATCGTTGCAACTCAACTGAGAGCCTGAGACTAGTGTTAATAACTGTTCCTAGGCGTTAGTAAGGCAAAAGCGGGACACCGTCAAGAAGGGAACTGAACTGGTTGAATACAAAGAACAACTGGCCACAAAAATTGACGAGCAGGAGGAGAAGATCAAGATGACTGAGAAAGAGGTGACAATATTCAGTATTCAATACGTGTTACATCGTGATAATTGTATTTTCGTTTCACTAATATGATTACAGTTAACTAGAAATTAAGCTTTCAGTACTTGAGGTTTTAGCATTGATTAAACATTGCGCCGTTTATTCCAGGTAGTCCGTTCATTCTTGTTTAGTTACTGTTTAGAGGGACTGGTTCACGATAATGCGCATGTGTGAGTTCTGACAGTCGCTGATTGTTTTTCAACCAATCGGAAGCGAGTTAGCTGCATGCAAGTAAATTTACAAAATTCAAATTAATTGTTCGCGACGCGAGAGCATTTCCGGGCATTTGGTTTGATTTTATTTATCCCCATAATTCAAGTTTATTCTTTGCTACTCCTCAGATATATGTTGCAGCCCATAAGAATAAGATTTACAGCCCTGTGCTGCTTTGAAACAAACATTTACCAACGTGTATTTTTACGAGGTCGTACCCACGCTAACAAAGCAGTCACCGATCGGCAAACAAAATTTGTAAACAAACATCTTATTACTGTATAAATCCAGAAATACCTACAAATAGCACCTGACCGGTGACAAAAACGCACAACGCATGAGTATGAAGATTATCCTTAATTGAGCATAAATTTCAAATGCTTATCAGCAAATGAACAAATTCATTCGCGTTGCATCGGGTCAGTGTTCCGCAAAATAAATGTTATCGAGTAGCACACATAAAGAAACTAGATTATAAACAGAATATTCAGGCAATAATTTATTTTAAAAACATCAATTCTTAAACATATACGATCGTAAAGCAAAGATACAAGGAACATTTCAAGTGTACCAGATCGGTGAAGACCGCGCGGCCTGTTGCGGTATAACTACAGGTCGGTTGAACGAACTCATGCCTTTAACCACTTTCCAAGTGTCGTGTATACTTTTCGTAAGCCACACACTACTCCTAGAACCACACAGATCGATAGGCTAAGCTTCTCTATCTCCAAAGACTTCTTGAGAACGTCCTGTTGTCGGACAGCATCGATGCTCTTCTGAACCTCCATGATCAAAACATTATTTTTTGCGTCTTCTTAAAACGTAACCAGTCAAACGACACAACCACACGTTAATCACCACTACCGAAGTATAACTAGACCAGCCAAAGCGACGGATGTCCGAATAAAACGAAGGATTTTCAATGATTGTACCGGTAATGGCGACTTCGAATTTAGTGTTGACCCGACAAATTTATTCTGAAGAGACAAACGGCGCGCATGCGCATTATCGTGAACCAGTCCCTGGTTTAGTGCTTTGTGTCTGCGACCTTTCATGCAAAGGTCACAGAGGCTTTGATTAAATTCCCTTCACCAATAAATCACTTGAAAACTTCTTAATATCTCCGATGTTATTAGAAATACAGTTTTTAAAGTATGAAAAAAATCTCCTTCAGATATACATTTATCCATTTAATTCTTTCTTTTCCATGTCAGTCTACTTCGGACTTCGACTTCCTGTCTGTTGGAATTTCTGTCTAGCTTTCACGCACGTGAAGTTCCAATTTTGTCACGCACCACTAAAGAAGCATTAGTTAATTCACCATCAGTTTAATTGCGCTAAAGTCAAGTTTAATCTTTTTTACCAGTTGTTTGGTTTTCTCTACAGAATCTCATGACAGGTGAATTACACGCTCTTGGACTGCGATGTCGAGGAGAGAGACATGAGCTAGTGATAGCGAGGCAAAAAGAGGCTCTGGCAGAACTCAGAGGCCGAACAAAAACACTGGAGCAATTTAAACCACCACGTAAGTCTTGAAAGTAAATCTGTCTTACATGATAGACTGACGTCTTTGATCGCAAGGCCTAAACAAGAGCTTTGACGAAATCCACATGGATAAAAAATATACATAGCTTTTTATAAAACTTGAGCGCAATCGCATTACATTCATTCTCCAGTCTGTTTCAAGTGACAAAAGAGCAGAAGATTTGGAGTGAAAATTATACGAAAGGCGTCTCCTATTTTCTTTTGTTGTCACGTGAAATGGGAGATGTCTGCACGCAAACTATGTCTCCACTTTTCGGGAAAAAACTCTTGGGTAATACGCTTGGTTGCGTACAAACCTTGTCAGTAGCCTGATCAAGGCCACCGCCCTCTTTCCCAGATCGCGCGCCGTCTTATTTTTGGCGAGGTCCCTACATACTGAGAACCTGGCACAGTCTACCTTGACGGTGGTTGAACCATGAATGTCGCGAAAAAATTTTAAAAAAAGAAGTGATACGCAGCTCGGGCTAACCAGGCAATGATCTCCACCTTAAGTCCGTTTTACACAGGCAATTTAAAATCGGGCCTAAACTTAAAACTTTTATCGTGCCTTTGGCCTGCGTTTCAAGCGTTTTCTACAGCTATGTTCGATTTCAAAAAAAGGGTCGAGGAGTTCCTATCTCTACTCTCCCCAATTTTCCTCTGTCATGAAATTAATGATGGCGGCCGCAGCAATACGATCATAAACAAACAGCTTTTACCCACTCTGAAAATTCGTCTGCATCGCAATTTAGACAACGGTTGGCTTTATATACTAATAAGTCATTTCCGTGTTCCACAGATGAAACCTCACTTTAAAATGAGGCCAAAATGCAAAACCTTTTTCGTGAAAATGACTTTCATTTGCATTAAAAGTCATTTTCATATTAAAAGCTTCGCACTAACGCTCGTTTGCAAAGACAGGTAACTTGGAAATGGTCTACCGTGTGGCAAGAAATTTTTGCGGGTTCTAATTTTTGCGGGGTTTTTTTTCTGCGATCCGCAAAGATAAGTTCCCGCAAATAAAAATTACAGCAAAATTTTTTTCCGCAAAAATTTACTCCAGATTAAATACTCTCTAACTTAAATTCGCTAAGAAATCGTGTCTGTTCAATTACAACTTATCTCTTTCGTTCAGAAACAAAGCGGTTTACAATGAAATATTGACGCACACCGTAGTATTGTTTGAAAATATGCATTTCTATTGCACGTACTCAATAACAACGAAAATATTGTCAATGCTGGGTATTGGGTACTTTCTGAAAATCGCAAAAATTAATTCCCAGCAAGAAAAACCAATCTGTCCTAATCGGAAGAATTAGTTCCCGCAAAACACAAAAACTCACAAATCCGCAAAAATAAACTCCTGCAAAAATTTCGTGCTACATGGTATCTATTACTGGCCCGTAACTTAAGCTTCGCCAGAGACACGTTACGTGTAATACACGTATTTCTAGTTGATAAGATGGTTTTTTTGTTATGTTAGTTCCAAATCATGAACAAGCTTTACAGCAGATTGTGGCTCTCAAAAAGGAAGTCAGTGAACTAAGGGCGAAGCTGGCCTCCCAAGAAGAGGACTACCACAAAAGCGAAGGCGAAATGCATGCTGAGGTAACAGACGTAACAGTGTGATGCTCTTCTAATTCATGGAGTTCTGCGCTTGCGTTTCCTCTTGTCTTCATATTAAAAAGCGACGTCCTTTTGGCGCGTCACGTATTCTGTTAGGAAGGATTGCGTGACAAAGGGTCCCGTGGTCATAGCGGACTACGCGTATTATTTTCTTAGGAATAGTAAAGCAAGCGAATTACTCAAGCGCGCGAAAATCGGGACCCGAGTGTCACCTTCTTCGCGGGTGGCGATTTTCACGCGCGCTCGCTTTATTCGCTTGCTGTACTATTCCTGAGTACATTTGAATATCAGCGTGGTAGGCGAAGGGGTAGGAAAAGAGAGAAAAAGGGAGGTTTTCCCCTCCTCCTCTCCCTCCCCTTTTTGTGCCTGTCACGCAGGCTGTCACTGAGAAGAATGATGGGCTACTCGTAGTCCACCCTAGTCAGGTTGTTTGTAGAGTGAGTCCTTGCTATTATTTGCCCTCTATACTTTCACAAGACTTTGGTGTATGACAAAAATAATCATTTTTGCTCACTTGAAAGAGTTCAAGTATGATCCAGCAAACTGAAGAGGCTGAAAATAGGATAAAAACTGTCATGGGCCATTGTAAGAGTGTGTCATAGATCCTTCTTCCCCTATTTATTTCAATAATTTAATATTCCGCGAATGAACGTTTACATGTTCAAATGCTATAGCATGCTCTCCATGCCATGATAGTCGTTTGTGAAATGCCTTATATCTGTTTCCTTGTAACAGCTCAGAGTTCGTCGTGAGCAGGCTTCTGCCAGTCTCGCTGAAACCGATTTGGAAAAAGGCGCTCACCAGCAAACAAAGGAAGCATTAGATCTCAGTGAAAAGACGGTGAGTTGATTTTAATATAAACACGAAAAAATTAGTGAGGAGTATAAGAGCTTGAGCAAAAGCGTTTTTGAGCGACCGAAATCAATGGCTTGACGCTAATAAATGTACGCTCCGGTCATCATTCGCTGTTAAAAAACCACTTGGCATGAGCGCCTTATTGGCAGCTTTTTGCAGAAGTAAATACAAAGACGGGGTTATCTGTCAAGAGTGCCTTACTGCAAATAGTTCACATGCTATGTTATAATATAAAGGTGAAATATGGTCTTTCATGAAAATTGATTCAACTTTCAATGTTAGTTGATAGAAAATAGTGTCGGTTCATCTTTTTTTCTAAAGTAAAAGAAACTAAAAGACACCTAATTCGTTCCATGAAAAGGAAGAACGAAAAAGGAAATGAATCATGATCAAGATTACTACTGCCCTTCACGCACGTTTTTGTGCGCACGCCAGCAGCACCCTCTACCGTTACCTTTCGAACGCCTGGCACGGTACCAAACGCTGTTCGGAAAATTAGCCCGCGCTCCTCTGGGAGGACTGAGAGAGCGGCGGAAATCGAGTCCATCACTTCGGAGGCTGCAAGACTATTCTTGCGTCGTTTTATTTGAGCGCGTCACTCCTCTGTCCTTCAAACACGCAAAGAAACAAGTTATTTCAGTTGCGTAAGTCGTTATTTTTCCAGGCTTTTTTAACTGTAACTGTTTTTTCTTTTCGCAGTATCTGAAGTTGGCTCGAACAATCGGTGCACTGCTTGAAATAGACTCGTTACCAGGTTGTCGCTCAATGGCGCACCTCCCAGTAGAGGAAAGAGAGAGACTGGAACTAGACAGGACAAAGGTAATTTGAGTTTCAGTTCCTGCTTAAAAATACGACCTGTGTATGCTGTTACATGTACATGTGTCTTTGTTTCACAATGCGAGAATAAAAGTACTGAAGATACCACAACACGTAATCGTTAAAAAGATACCAATGACACTTAAATAGTCGAAACTTTCTTAACGGACGCTTGCGCAAGAGCTGAGCACGGCTCTACTTGTGTTCGGGTCGACCAAAAAACTCTCATTTTACTCGCCATTGAAAATCAGTTAATAGCGCCTTGAGCAGGATCTGCAATATTTGTGTTTTTAATAGACTGCTCCAAGAGTGTGATAAAAACCAATTGGTGTAACATGCCCTGAACTTGTGCGATATATTTTGGAAGATCATTTCAGTTCCACTAGCTGGGCCGACAGAAAAGAGATATTGAAGTTGAATTTCTTAGTTGAAAGTTACTTTCCTTAACCCATTCGCAGAAGAACAAACACACAAGTCAACATATTGTAATTAGGTGATTCATTCTTTTTCTTCGTCTATTTCATGAGTGAGGTGATAGTTAATTGTTTTGCTTTAGTTTTGTTTCATGTCTGGGCTCCCTTCTTTTGTACCCATTCTTTTGAGTGATTTCTATGAAGTTTTAATTTTCCCTTTAATTTGTTTCCCTTTGAATATCAGGCTGTGGAGCTGATGGTCACTAAAGTTCAACAAATGAACGATCGAATGGAAAGAAAAGTCCAGCTTCTGGGTTCTTATGAAGATGACTTGGTGCATCTAAGGTAAAGAGACAAGAAACAAAATAAGTAAATAAATAAATGCATTTTATATTTAGAACGAAAGTACCAATTGTGGACACTATCTTTGCGTCTCCTACTGGAGACGGGACCGCCATTTTACGTGGTCGTCCGAGCCACCCGACGGTCTAGCCACTTGCACTGCAAAGGGAGTACCTTCATTTCTTAGTCAATTTAAGACCCTGAGTGTTTGTCCGGTCTCGGGAATCGAACCCGCAACGACCGCGACCTCCCGCTCTGCAGTCAAACGCTCTACCGACTGAGCTAATCCTGTTGCGGTTATAAAATGTCTTATAAAAAATGCTTTTAATTTAACATCACCTTAGACCGTTCACAGTCCCCTATTTTTGGTAAGATCTTGAAGGTCGAGCTCTTACCGGTACGAGCGACCATCTGGGTCTCATATGTACCGAGGGGGCGGGCTTCGGGGTCCCCGCCCCTTGAGTAGATTTCACGCTGATCCCAAGACTGGACTCGGAACATTTAAAACCAAGATGGCCTCCTGATCTCGACGATTTTACGAAAAAATAGTTGACTGATAACAGTCTAACATCACACAATTGTTCTGGAACGCTAAAACCCAGGCAAATATCCTGAATTAATCCGCGATCAATTCCACAATTCTCATCGCCTATGTCTTATCATGGTATCGGTTATAAAAGGAGAATTTCAAACGATAAAAACAAAGCTCTTGTTACATCTTGTCGTCATGGCCTCGTTCTTCTATTTTCCTTGATTTATACACTGTTCATAGACCCCTATTTTTCAGTAGGATCGTCGAGATCGAGTACTTACCCTTGGGGGCATCCAGCTTGGTTTCAATTGTACTGGGTCTGGCCTGGGGATTTCCGTCGAGTAACAAATCTACTTAGGGGGCGGGGGAAAGTTTAGGAGGAGACGAGAAAAATTTATGTTTTTCTCCCCTGCCTCCCGCCACCGCTAAAACCCCGACACCACCCGACCCTCGGTACATTCGAAACCAAGATGGTCGCCCGTAACGGACTCGTAACGTTAAGTGCTCGATCTCAACGATGTTATGGCAGAGTAAAGGACAGTGAACGTTTAGAAGTCAAGGTAATACGTCGGGAAGGTAAATGTGCACACTTATATAAAATAAATAGATGGAAAAAGTGAAGATTTTTGTGGTCGAATTACGCGAAATATTTCGTCCTTCGTTTCAGAAATAGTGAGACAGTGGCAGGACAGAAAACGGCTGAAGCTACAGGACTTAAGGTTGGCGTGTTGCTCGCATGTTGTTAGTTACAGTTGTGTAGAACGTGTCCTTCTCTTCATTATAAGATGATGTAACATCTGTTTGTAGCGCATCCTTAGCCTTCGTAGCTGGCGGGATTAGCGGGAGTGCTGTAGTTTTTTGGCGGCGGAGCCGTGTGAAGATTAAGAACCCTAGCGGCTTTACCCCGGGCACAAGCATCCTGCCACCAACGCAGGCTACCGCATCCCTCTCTAATAACTTTGTAGGAAGAGAAGGCTAAATAATGGGATCAACGTTAAATTTACCTAACCTAAAAACTCTTTGTTTACGACTGTTTTCATTAAGGCTCTTACTAACATAGGACATTAGCGTTAAGCCGTGAAGTTATTGCCATATTATAGTCTCAGAGGGTCATAAGGAAGTAGATTGTGTGATTTATTCCTTTTATTGGTTAATGTGCAGGGTCCAGTTATTAGAAGGCCAATTAGCGCTGAACCGAGGTTAAATTTCAATTCGGGCTTGTTTTTCTTTTGATCAAAAGCATTTTTTCGAATAATTTTATCTATTCCTTTGAGAGCATCCAATCATCAAATTATAACGAAATTTATTGAACTGAATTTGATTTTTAAGCTTTGGTACCTGAATTCAAATTTCCTACCTACCCTGGGTTATCAGTTAATCCTGCTTTGAACATCCCTGCCCAGATTACATTAAAGCTGTCTTTTTGTACTGGAATTTTTCACTCTGATTTTTGTCGCATTGTACCACATAGATGGATGTTCGAAATCGTCAAGAAGAGATCGCCTACCTTAGAGCATCAATGAGTAGATTAAGAGACGACCTGGATCAACAGCGGAGACTTAATGTTTGTTTAAAGGAAAGAAAGGTAAGATGGTTGTACACTTTGTACACTTTTTCCACTTAATGTGCTTGAACCAAGTAACCATCTTGACTGACAGTTCTACTTCTATTCTACCTGTGACAACAGGTAAACCAAGCTCACAATAAGAGCTCGTAAGCAACACTACCTCACATAGCTAATTAATAATGGTATTAAATAGGACTGAGTGGAGTCCAATTCGGTCGTTAATCATACGAGTGATAAACCCGATTTGTTTAATCACGAGTGTGATTACAGACCGAATTGGACGACACGAAGTTCTGTTACCAATTAACCATGATTGTAACAAATTTAATCAAAGCACGAGAAATTCCGAGAGTTTTTTGCTAGCAGTGACAAAAAAAGCCATTTAAGCGCGCGCGTGATGGCGCGTACTGTCCAATTACTTAGGCATGACGCGTACTGTCCTATTAGTGCTGAAATCGGTACAATTGATAGCCAATCAGATTTGAGGATCGGCGGGGCTAAATGCAGGGTGCATTCGCAGGCCAGAAAACTGCCCGTGAGAGAAAAACTAAATGTGGTCTCCTTCATTCTCGTATCCGATCTACTCTCCTTTAAAACACAGAGAGTTTTGAAAGGTTTGTGAAAGAACCTTGTCGGCAAAAATCAACTAACTTTGTTGGCTTTTTTTCCTATGTCCAGAAATTCGCCATGGATATGGATGAGCGTGATACAAAGAGACAAACACATAGCTGTTACATGGACGAACACACCAGATACAAGGTGCCGAATGATAAGTATACTATATAATATACAGTAAATATTGTTTCACCGTCCATGCACTTGTTAGTTTTGGCAAAGTTCCCTTTCGTAAACGGTTGCTGCCATTTTTGAGACACTTGTTAGAACATTTTTGACCCGTGATTGAGAGTGTTTCTATTAACAAGAAGGTCAATCGTAACCCAGGGTCGAACCCAGACCTTTCCTATCCTAATCCTTCTCCCTTACCACTAGACTACAACACCGACGCGACAAACTTGGAAAAATTTCAGTACATAAAGTAGTAAACTGTCTTTCTTGAAACTGATGCATCAATAACAGGTGACGCCAGCCTTCCGTGTTCACGGAGCGCGTTGTACCAGCAACGCAGGCGTTTGATTGTTCATTAAACGATGGATGTTAATTTGCGTTGACAACGGGTTTTGTTTAAGTTGCCGACACTGACAAGTCGTTGACAAGTCGTCGTTTCTTTTAAACGTACGCTTTCATAACACATAAGTCACATCTTGCGCAACCACACGAAGGATTTTTGGTATTTTGCGGATGAATCACGTAAGCCAACATGCTTTTGAAGCAGCCCGGCCAGTGATGTTATTACAGTCCCCCTATTATTCTTGCTTCCTCCCAAACCGCCCCCCGCCCCTTAGTAGTTTTGACACTCATGCAAGACGGCAGCCCGTAACGCAAAGCTATCGATCCCGACGATCTTACGGGAATATAGGTGACTGTGAACAGTTTACTGCGCGCGATCTCCTTTATTACTGGCCTTATTGTAAGTTAATTAATCCAGGGATTATATTACATGTACCTTACCAATGGTAGCGTCGACCGTTAAAAATGGCAACGACCGTAACGAAGGGGAAATATGCGTCGTCGTGATCCATTACCTTTAGTGAATGATTATGGAGATGAGTCAGATGCCAAGACAAGGCATCTATAATTCTTATTCTGTCTCAGCCTTCGGCTCAATTAATAACACTTTCCTCGACCCTGATTATTCCGGATATCACAGGAACCTCATACAATAATTGTTTGTAATTGTGTATGTAATTTCCGTTACAGGAGGAAGTTAAAAAGAAAAAGGCAGCAGAGAAACTTAAAAGGAAAAATTACGAAATAGAGTCACTCAAAAAGGTAAGAAACGTGGGAAAGTTTTTCATGTATTTACGGTATGATGTGGTCGTCCTGGATTGGTAATATTTAATTCTGCAATCTATAACTGACTTCAGTTAGCTTCACTTAATTTCAGACTACATTACAGAAGATGATCGGCGAAAAAATTGTTAAGACATTTTCCTGAAATGGTTTAACTTCGAAGAACAAAACAATGCACACCTCTCCTCTGTCTCTTCCATTCAAAGTTGCGGTGTTTTATGCTTTCTACAAGTAACTTGAACAGCAACACAGCATTGTACCGAGGTGGTGGCAAAAAGTCAGACATGCCCTTTAGGGCAAAGTGTCTCAATTAATTTTGTCGCCAATGGTAGATAGAGAGTTATGCAAGTTATATAGTGTATCTAATGAATAATGGTAAAAGTAGAATTTTATAAAAGCTTTTGAGAATGTGTGTAGTGGCTACAAGGCATATCGTGTAGAGATGATGACCACACTGAAAATAAGAAAGATCTGTTTCAGCCCCAAAGTGCCAATTCAGCCCCTCCTGAAGTCATTTAACACATTTCAAGCGAAAACAGCCCAATCTAAAGGCTCTTCCAGCCTACGCTGGGGCTCATTTCAGCCATTGGGTCCAAATCAACCCTAGGTAGCTGGACTTTATTGGCCCTGATTTATGGGAGCTAAATTAGACTCAAAAATAGGACTGTATTTTACTTACCAAAGCGGCCCCATTTTTAGGGCTAAAACAGATCTTTCTGATTTACAGTGCATCTACTTTATAACTGAAATCCTCTTTTGCTGAAATGAAGAGGGTAATTTGGTTGAAGCCTTGTTTTTCGTACATTTCAGCATTTTCCCCTTAAAATCGTGACGAAACTTCATTCGGTCTAAAACTGCTGAATTAAAATTTATGGACGATGCTAAATTGGTCGCCTGTGTACAGCCCCCCCCCGCCTCCTCCCTCCTCTTTTGCTGAGGGAAGGGGGGTCTGTACACAGGCTACTCAATGTGCTGCTCTGTCATTGGTTAAGGGGCGGCGTTTCTAAGATCTGTGCGCGCCGTCGAAACTGTGGTTGCGTTGTCTGTGCTAAACTAAATCTGCCTACTTTTTTACGTGTAAACTCTTTTCTTCCCCTCTTTCGTGAATTCTCAATTCACCCCATTTTCCCTAAAAATTTAATCTCAATGCCCCTATAAATGACTACGCGTGATGTGAACGTGTAGAAGCTAAGGTGTCTGAGGTTGTATTTTTTTAATTTATAGGAACTTATATCCGCTGACCGAGAACTGAATGAAACTGCAGTCAAGTTGCAACTTCTCGAGTCCAGCAGAGTAAGTGCATGGAACTCTGTTTTGTACATGTATTAACCTTCCTTAGCGGACATTGTTTTCGCTCAAAACATAAATAGTTTTCACAAAATTGATTTTTGTTATCTCTGACAACACATAGTTCCATTCCCAATGTCGATGGTCATTAAGGGACACTAGTACGAAGAATATTGTTTTTTTGTTTTTTTCCTTCAATCTTCTTGATGTGTTTCCCTCCGTGGAGCAGTCATATTTGACTAAGCTATTTTGTTGTAGGCATGTTTTAGTTACTATCATTCGTAAGTCTACCATTTCGTGATTAAAGGGTCGAGTAAAACGATTTCTTTGCAGCCTGTAAGGTGTTTGGGATTGCAGAGTTTGTTGTTGTTTAGTAACATTGGTCAGATTGTGCGTGAAAATTAGCAGGCGGTGAGCACAACCTCTTTTCGTCTTCTTTTTGGAGGCTGTGCCCGATAGCGTCAAACATCTGAAGTCGGCGAAGCCCGAACTACTGGACCAGTTAAACTTGTTCTCTATCGTCAAACTGGTTTTTTGAGTGCGAGCATCTGTTTATTGATAAACCTCTTCGCCCGTTGTAACAAGCGCAGACGTGGGTTGGAAACTGTGTCTTAGCAACAAGCAGCACATGCTCAACAAAGATCTTACCCGATTAATGCAGTCTTTCCAAAGGGTGGAAAATTAGAAATTCGTGACAAACGTATTCGTATTTATTATGTTTCAGAATAATCTAACGTCTCGTAGTGGTCATAGTGAAGACAGCGCTTTACTAGATTATGATGAGTGAATGAGTTACTGCATCTCCGCTACACGGGACTGACGAGTATGAGCCCACGATACCATAAAGGTTGTTCACGCCCTCCGCTTAGTATGATCAATTATCATACACGTGATCTGCGCGTGCCAAACAAGCAATCCGGCGTGATATTAGACGTGTCTACAATATTCTGAGCGGGAAGTTTGCCTCACATCATGGGGAAAAATTTCGCTGTTCTTAATACTTGAACATAGTGTGAATAAAATGAAAAACATCAGAATATGCAATCATAGGACAGAAGGACGACCCAGTTGTTTTTAATGGAAACCTGGCTTGACTGAAGAGTGAAATAGAGTGTGTTGCAGATTCTGCAGTGTCAGTGTGTTGAGCCGAACCCCTTTAGATTAATTTGTGTAAATACAAACGAATTTATTTTAAAAATAAGCAAATAATCGGGACTGATAACAAAGGTGATGCACAGCGAAGTTTTTCGCAGATACTATCAATTTGACCAATCAAGTATAATAACGCACTGTTTCTCGGTCCCTTTTTTTTAAGCGGCGGTTGTTCACAAAAACAATTCAAATTTGGTTTTTTAATTCAATATTTGTCTTTTTCAGTTTAAAGCCTCCTCATAAAGAATTGTTTGGTTATCAGCCAGCTTTGCCTTAGTTTCTAGTTAAAACCTGGTAGTCGACTCTACTTGTACGTACCTTTTTCCCTAGTGGAGAAAAATAAATTGATATATGAGATTTAAAGAGGATCCCCCGTTAATTTATAACCCTCTGGCAAGTCCTCCCTCCTCCAAAAAATTTTATCATAGCAGATTTTATGAATTGACGTCTTCGTTTTATAGATGTAATTTATTACGGCCAAGTTTTTTGCATCCAGTGGATATTGAACATAAGTTGTTTTCATTTCCAAGGTGTTGGAATGGAAAATGACTTGTTGTCCAATACTTAGGGTGTGCTCGATTGGGAAATCTGGATTTAAAGTTTAAAATCCAGATCTCGGATTTGCAATAGAACGCGAAATCCAAAAACGAATTTCATCGCTGAGAAATCTGTTTTTGGATTTCCTTTTTACCGTTCGATTAGAAAATCCGAAAAGGGATTTGAAACTGACTGTCCTTAAGAACAGCAGTCTTGCACACGCACGCATAATTAGCCAAAAAAGACCGCTCTTGACGAGAACAGTTTTGCAAATCCTTTTTCGGATTTCCCAATCGAACGCTAAGGAGTAAATCCATGAAATCAGGATTTGGATTTCTAAATTGAAATCCACCCTGAGGACGGATTTCTCGAAGGTAAAATCCGAAAACTGATTTCGCGTTCGATTGCAAAATCCAAAATCCGGATTTCAAATCTAAATCCAGGTTTCCCAACAGAAGGTAACCTTATATTCGGTCGGCAGGCTCCAAGAAAACTTTCTCTTTGTCGCAGAGGCTCAGTAAAGCGTTTTGAATAATCATATTCGATGTGTAAAGTGAGTTCAGGCTCGTTACCTACAACCATCTCTCCAGGGAAAAGAGGCTCTTCGAAAAGGAGAGTAATGTTACTTTATCACTGAATTTTTTTTAACTTTTTATTGTGCAGCCGGTGAAAATATGATGAATGTATTAGGTACACTGATGTCTAGAGGTGTTATGCATGTGAAAGAAACAATTTACAGAATAAGAAATAAAATTAGATTGAAGGGGATCGGTTTTCTTGACAGTTTTGTGGATACGTTATGCAGTACTACACCACATCATCTGCTCATGTTGCGGAATGTACATTTCATGGAGGCTTTGCCACTCTGCCATTGGTCAAGCCAGTTATTTGGTTTGTGCGCGTCGTTGTCAACTGACGTTCTCGTTCAATTGCTAAATCAGCCTGTGACGCCTGCCCTTTCGGTAAAGTTATGCGCGCGCATTCTCGGCAACGTCACTATGGCAACGAATGTAACACCCTGAAATGTGTAGGACAAATTGCAAAAACGGTATTTAAGCGGTGTCATACTCTAAGGAAATTTTTTTTCCTGAATTCCTCAGTCCACTTATTCGGATTCTTTTTGTTTCCTTTACATCGGCCTCTTTTCCCTTCAGTAGAAATTCTTAGATGAAGATCGCCGTTTGGTAGTGAACCTCTTCGTAAAGTAAATCAGAATTTGACTAGTCCCTAGGTCTCATTATTCCGCACGGCCTACGTGTTTCCGGTCACGTTGTACGAGCGAGTTTCTGTGTTCCTCCGCCGTTCGTCTTGGCTACGTCACCCAAGTGCATTGAAGGCTTGGGAAGGTGCTACACAGGGACTAAGAAATATCACTTTATCCTGTGAATGGAACTGTTACTTCAGCGTTTCCATTAAAATTTACCTTTCTCGAGACGTTTGTGTGCGCGCGCACATTATATACGTCACATACAGGAACAGAATTTCTAACAAAATTCTTTTACTACTGGCTACAAGTTACTTAAGTTGAAATACAACTTCTATTGCTAATTTAATGATTATCTCAAATGAAGTATCAGCTACGTACTACGAGTGGTAACCATGGATTCCTTACCAGATGACATTTGGTTGGAGGTGTTTTCTTTCCTTTCTCAGAAAGATCTTCTCAGAGCTGCTCTTGTTTGTCGGACCTGGAAAAGACTGTCACGTGACAGCTCTCTCTGGTCATGCCTTGATCTCCAACCGTACGCCAGATCGCTCAGAGAAGATATTATACTGAGGCTTTTGAATACTATGTTTGCACCTCTCGGTAGACAACTCAACCTCAGTAAGAATTTGGTGACCACGCAAATTTTAAAAACCATATTTGAAACCTGCCATCGACTGCAAAGTTTAAGTCTGAACAACAGCAGATTCCATTCCATCGGGCCTTGGCTTGAAAGGAGAGTGGATCAGGTGGAAACCTTAATATTTATGGATTTAAGAAACGCAAGTGGATTCGCTGCTGGAATTGAGGACATTTTGCAAAAAGCATACAACTTAAAGTATCTAGGTAAGTAAACCGGTCTCTTTGTATAGCGCAGATAACAAGGAGAAGATGTATTGATCGCTTGTTACCAGTGAAACTTTTCATTGGTATTTCCCAAAGTAAGAAGCTTTACTGATCTAAAAATTCATCGATTTTCTTCAGATCGGACGTCCCTTGAGTTGTCGCATTGACAAGGTTCATTTTAAGAGCATTTAATAAACAATAATTGGATGATGTTTTTATGTTAACACTTGTAGATACCTTAACTAGACTTGCCCACAAGTGGAGCTCACAATTTTTTTCGAGCGCGAAGCCCAAGCTAGAAATTCTTTATGATTTCGGCGGCAAAGCGAGCGACGGAGAGAGGTGGAGCCTTCTACCGGAACCGGAAACGAGATGCTTTGAGAAAGTCTACCGTATTGCATCAGTCAATTCCAGCTGCGCCCAGCCCCTCCCCCCGAGCCACTGCGGGGCATTTGCCCGCCTTGTCAGTCCCGGGGGTGGGGCATTTGCAAATTTTGCACTGCCTGGGGGCCGGGCATTTGCCAACCCCGGGGCCATAATATAACTACACAGAAGGTTTTACTGGAAAAAAAGCAGATTGGCTCACCAGCCAAGGACAGGAATAAATTGAAGAGGGTTGTAAAGGCATGTTCTCGATTTTATGCATGCATTTCTTCATTACTTATGAAGCCAGAATTACATAGCGAAAACCGGAGCTATCGATGTGAATCAACGTTTTTGGTTAGAATAAAATTTCTGTTAATATTATTTGAAGAACATCCTTTCATACTTATAAAACTATTCATAACATTAAAGTTACAGCGCTCTATTAATTTTAATCTCAATAATTTATATCAATACTAAAACCATAAACTGGTGCATGTCGTCGCGGCGTGAAGTCTTCATTAGAATCCTACCGCTATTACAAAGGAAGACGTTAATTGAAACAAAAAATCGCAGATTAAAATGCTTAAAATGGCATTATTCGACTGTGCGATCAATGAAAGTGCAGTGTTGACGAAGGACGGGGCATTTACCCTCTTTTTGCGTCCCCACCCCGGGGGATTTGACAGCTCAAGAGTCCCCACCCCCGGGAATTTGCCATCCGAGGCAAAAAAAATGCTAATGACGGGGGTCAGCCCCGGGGGGGGGGGAGGAGGGCTGGGCGCAGCTGGCATTGACTGATGCAGAACTATCACCGACAACCTCCCAAAAAAACGAATTTCTTGATTGTTTTATTGTACATATTTATTAAAATAACGCACGGAACACAGTTCATTATCTTTCATAAAAAAGGGCTAGAAAGTGTAGAAATTCAGCTTGAAAATCATGCATTCCACGCACAACCCATAGATTCACATAAATTTAAGCTAATGCAGAAAGCGTAATACAATGTAGCACAATCACAATCATCAATCACCTCATGGAGAGGGAAAGTAATTCTGAGTTCCATGCACATGAAGAAGAATGTCAGCAAATATCGATAGGCTTACTTATTCCTGATTGATTAAGCTGTGTGACATTTTTCGATCAATTAAACAAAGCACACAAATCGTCAAATTGATTGAACAGTTAGGGCTCGTGTTATGAGTCGGCCCTAGCCAGCCAGACCAGTCCAATCGTAGAGAAAATTTCTCTACTAATCAACACTATCCCATCAAGCTCGTCCCCAGGGTCTTCCCGCCCCTCCTATTTTCTATGGAAAAAGCCCTGGGAATGAGGTAGGCGTGGCATACCCTCCCAAGAGCCATAATGGGACAGAGAGAGAGTCTTAAGGCGTTGGCCGGGATATGTGAGTTTCACTAAAGTTATTTTTAGAGGTTGTAATTAAAGGGAAGTCTAATTCCTGAGACGTCCGCACATTTTAATCGATGCTTGTCAGACCCTGTAATATGCATTGTAATGGCGACTGTTGAATATTCAACATGACCTAATCGACCGGGATTTACAGGCGTCTAGGTTTCGGCAGCAATATTCCAGATGAGTCTGTTGAACGGCCTGGTGAGTGCGTTTCACTAAAAGAAGTTCAGTAAGCGGTCCTACTCGTAAGCGCAAGATAAGTGATGTTTTGTCTTCCCTCGGCGGGAAAGCGAGGGGAAGAAATTCCCTTATCGCGGTGAAAGCTTTAAAAGGCCTTCTTGAACACGTGAATTTAAATCCTCGCCAAATGTAATACCTGTGTCGAACAGTCACTGAAAAAAATCAAAATAACAATGTTAATGTAACAATGAATCGATAAGTAAAAAATCTGGTTTCAGTTTTTTTCAGTTCCTTTTTGTATCTTCGATTGTGACATAACGTTTAAACTCTAAAAAGCTAATTTTTAAATAGGGGTCTTGCTTTTTCTATATTGTTTAAAGGATATTTTGAATTATGCGCTTTTCTTTTTCCAATTTATTTCAAAATTAAGAAAGTTCAGAGTCATTTCCAAAAATAAAACGAAGTTGAGTAATTTAAAAACAGGTTTATTGCTCGAACTGAGAATTGCTCTCTTTTTTTTATTTTCGTTCTGCAGGTCTTCACTGTTGTATCAGTCCTCGACTGTTTAGAAGCATATTCAGCGGAAAACACCAGCTCCGTTTCTTAGACTGTACACAATGTGACTGGGTCACTGATGATAGTATCCACATCGTTGCTGAAAACTGCCCCTTTATGGAATCTTTAACTCTCGCAAAGTGTCGCAACATCCAAGGGAAATCATTATCAAGTCTATTGAGCAACTGCCCAAAGCTAAAGACGCTCATATTAGAAGGGACCCAGATAAAAGACGAATACCTAGGAACAGCCGACTGGGAAAACACCAGGATCATTGAGTTAAACGTGCTAAGCTGTTATCGACTGTCATTTTCCGGCCTTTCTGCGGTATTACCAAAACTAAAGCGCCTGCGCTACTTAAAGTGCGCGATGACCGATGAAATTTTTCGTCTCATAGTGGACGGCTTTCCGTTGTTAGAGGTTTTCTTTCTTCATCGACGCTATCCAGTTACCGTTCAAAGCGTCAGTGATTTGCTCTTTCACTGTCCGAGTGTTACCTGCTTAGATATTTCATCTATCCCATTAGCGTTTGTTTATTTTGAGACCTTTTTACCCCGTATGCCCCGGCTTCAACTGTTAAGCTTTGCAGGTAACGAACTCTTGGGTACAGAGAACATTATACGTTCGCTTGCAAGAAATTGCATTGACTTACAAGTGATATGTGTTAATTATTTTCACTCGACAAACAACTTCGAAATCGAGCGCTCCTTTGTATTTTTGCTTCAAAGATGCCGTAAGCTCAAGGAAGTTATTTTAAACGGTTTGTTCGTGAACAATTTAGTTGTGTCTATACGGAGCTTAGGGTATTATGTGTGCGATAGAGACGATATATTGGTAGCAGAAAATAAACACTTTTTTCTTCCTGGACCTCAAAACAGTCTTGATAATGTTAAGTTATAGGATTATACAATACTGTTACTTAACAAATAGATTGAGATTGCCATAGGTAGGGCTTTTTCACCAGTATATGAAAGAACAATAAAGTAAGATAACAAAACACTCCTGATTCCGCTGAATTTTAGGTGTGAAGTAAAATGTTCCCATTTATAGTAAAAGAAAGGAAATAGTCGTCACATTTACATATTTGCTTTTTAACTCTGTGAGCTTTAGCATTTTTATACAAACTTCACGTTTTGTTTGCTACTCATGATTTCTCAAAAGTGATCTAAAGTGACAGTTACAGGTTATGACGAGACTATTAATTTTAAACAAAATGATGCAAGGGGTCTGGAAATTAGATTAAGAATTCCAAATTCTTAACAGTAATGAATTCAAAAGGAAGCAGCTAATAAAACGTCAGCTTTTTACTGCTGATGTTGACATCAAGAACTGGCTTAAGATCTTGCTTAAACGGTGTTTCATTTTCAGTTATCTTGCAATAGTCCGGGAGCTAGGGCCGTTTTGCACAACCCAGAGGACAGAAAAGGTTTGACGATTTTAACAACACCAAATGCTTTATTTGCATGACCATTACAGTATTGCAAAAGCTATTAGTTAGCAATCAATGAATGAGGCTGAGTAGGATATGAAGAATTAAGCGGATCGAGGATGGTGTTATCCACCGAGGCCGTAGGCCGAGGTGGATAACACCCTTCCGAGATCCTCTTAATTCTTCATATCCTACGAAAGCCGAATTCATTAATTGCTTTATTATTTATCAAAATATTTTCAAACACTTAAAGGAGAAAATGAGCTTTATTTTCACAAATTTCACACCCTACAGCAATATACTGAGAGCTAAAGTTATTTTCACTCCGTAAATTTTGGTGAAATGTATAAATAAAATCTCTCCGTCAGAAATTTAACAGACATCGAGGTTTAAAAAATCAAACCTGTTTACGATAATTGGTTGTGAGTTTGAACGTTCAAATCTCGTAAAATGAATTCTTCTTGGGAATTTGTTAGCAGTCCAAGTTCCTCATTTCGATCATTTTCGCCTGCTTCAGAAGCCACGACATTGTTTTTGTTGTTGTCAATTACAGCCATAAGGCTGCCCGCCATGTTTGTTTTTGTGTTTGTATCGGTTTTGCTGTAGGTTTTTATGCTGCTTTCGTTTCTGTGTCCGCTTACCGACATGATGTGTCGCGCTTCAAATCCACTTCTGTCGAGTATAGTTATGGTCGTCGCTCTGATTGAATGATTTGTGTATATTGTTGACAACTCCGCTTGGTGTGATATGACTTTCATCTTCTTGCCGAGAGTGTTCTCGCCGACAACCATGTTGTCATACCAAATTTCTCCTTCACCAGCTGACTTTTTTGGTCGCTGAAAAAGGTATTCATTCATTGGATTCAAGACACTCAAATATTTTTCAAAGGATGAGACCGGGCAAAAAGGACCATCGTTTGCTATCATCATTCCTCCTTCTTCAGCTTGAACGTCGTGTGCTCTGAGGCAGGTACAAAAGTCGGACCGGATCAACTCGGACCGCCAGTCCGGGTCGGATCAACTCGGATCGACTCGGACCAACTCGGATCGAATAAAAAAGTAAAAATAAAATAAAATTGGACTCGGATCAACTCGGATCATAAAAAAAAACAACTCGGATTATAAAAAAAAAATAAAATCAGTCGGTATCACTTAACTTTCACCCGCCATTTTTTTTTTTTTTTTTTTCACGAACTCGTGGTTGCGTAAATTAATTTTATTTTTATTTTTGTTAATTTTAATGATACACTAGTGAGCAGAACACATACACTTCCAGTGAACATTTTCAACTTGGAAGGAGGAGAAATCATGCTCGCCCGGGAAACGAAAATTTTCGTACCCTTGGCGAGAATTGAACTCACGACCCTCCGAATACGACATGTTTATCGGACGTTCCAACCACTGAACCGGAGGGTTGCGAGTTCGATTCTTGCCTTGGGCATGGAAATTTCCTTTGTCCTGGGCGAGCATGGTTTCTCCTCCTTCCAAGTTGAAATTGTTCACTGGAAATGTATGTGTGCTGCTCACTAGTGTATCATTAAAATTAAGTTTCAGAGGTCCTGCAGAAAAAAAAAACAGGAACAAACAAACAAACACTCTTCGGTAACTATCTAAATGCGATCAACAGACCAGGCTTTTGATGATTTTCTCATAAATAATTCGTTAGTCTAATAAACAAGAAAATATATACATTCTAGGCGACTGATCGAAACTATCATTTCTTTACTGTCCAACTACAACCACGAGCTTTTTACATGATCCGAGAGGAACTGGCACTAATAAAACAAATTGCGCCTGAAAGCCACGGAGAAAAAAAGGATGATCTGGCCTTTTTTACCCTCCAAATGGGTTAAACTTTCAGTTTTGCTGATTTAATTTAATTTTTTTGATTGCTCCGAGTTGATCCGAGTCCAATTTTATTATTTTTTTATTTTTTTATTCGATTCGAGTTGGTCCGAGTCGATCCGAGTTGATCCGACCCGGACTGGTGGTCCGAGTTGATCCGGTCCGACTTTTGTACCTGCCTGTGTGCTCTGTGATTTTTTGTTAGTTCATCGGTTGTTTTCAAAACACAGCGTTTTCCTTGCGAGTTGACTTTTATTTCGAAGTCAGTCTTTTTATACTGGTGAAGATTTTGCCGACCACGCCGACAGAAAAATAACATTATTTCAAAGAAAACCTTGTTTTGAAGAGTGGTAGGGTTTTCAGTATTGAAGACACCGCATCAATACAATTTCTTTATGTCTTCGTCAGCAATTGGAGGTTTGTGTTCAGTTTTCGCTAGTCCTTGCTTCTTCAGCTCCACGCACTGTGCTTCATAAATTCGGTTGGCTTCGTTAAATTCCGTATCCTTTATAATGTCTATATTTAGTTCTTGTTTGAAGTGTCTACACAAAGCAAATCTGATGGAACAGAGGGAGTTCTTTGAGTACATCTGTCCATCTTTCTTTCTCGCCTCGGCGTAAAACCTTCGTAAAACAGCCGCTAACTCCACTGCAGTTGAAGGATTTCTGATGTTTTTCTCCTTGAGGTACGACTCAAAAATTAAGCGATGGTGTTCCGTCAACTTTTTGGTATTCTCACTGTCTTTATCATCAAGTAACTGGGTGATATTTTCTCCGCTCAAACTTGTAAACCTACTCGCGGCCATTTCTGATGTTTGTCTGCCAAAAATAACACAAGCTCTTCACCAGGTCTTCTCGGTTAACGGTGCCTTAACCTGCGAAAACGCTGCATTTTTGACGTCATTTCCTCGTTAAAGTCAAAATTCTTCCAAATTTGGTCATCAGTAACTAGTTATGGTGAATTAAACATGTACTTTTAGCCAATCAGAATTGGGGAAATATTTTGAATGAATAATAATCTAAATTTAAGCACTAATTCAACTAATTAGTACGTGCAAAACATTACAAAACGTTACAGTTCTCATTCATTCATTCATTGATATTAATTTGGTTCTTTAATAATTCAAAGCATTGCGAGATAAATGAAACTAATTGACAGTTAATTAAATAATCAGAAGAATTCATAAGAAGAGATATTAAAGTATCGCGTGAAAGTGATTTGAAGTCGGGTATTTTAGTTTCTAGCTTGGAGAAAAATAAGTCTCTGATCTGAGAATAAGCCTTACAATCTAGTAAGAAATAATTTTCATCTTCGATTTTGTTACTTGTACAAAAGTGACATATCCTTTCATTGCGGGGAATGTTTTCGTATGTACCTGTTTCAATTCTAAGTTGATGACTACTTATTGTAAATCTAACTAATGGTTTTCTTGAAGGGTTTTTTCTTGCTAAAACTAGGTACGGCGAGGGGCTATAGTCGTCTTTGATTGTACAATAAAAACTGAGTTTTTGTGATTGTTGAAGGGTCTGACTCCAGTAAGAGACGTATTTATTTTTCATTATGCCGATATACCTATTAACTATTGAGTCACTCAATGAATTACAGGAAAAGTCATAGTTTAGATCATAGTAGTCAACCATTTTAATGAGATTAGAGTAAAAGCTAGTTTTTCCGTTATGATGAAGGTCAATTGAAATTTGTAAGGCCTGTTTAACTATAGAAGCTTCATCTTTACCTCTCAGATAGTCTAAGTAATTTAGAATCTTTTTATTTATATCAATGATCATGGGAAGTTTACCCAGTTCAGCTCGATTTTGATAGATTAAAGCACCCTCTTGTTGGCTAAGTAGTTCGTTGTTTCAAGTTGCAGCTCCTAAAAAACTCGCCAACATTTGACAAATTAAAAGAGTTGGAATAGGAGCGATGAACAGCGCGAATTCCGCACTTTTTGGGTGACGTTTTCGCTGCTGTTGCTGTCGTCCTTGTTTACAGTGAAAATAAGTTTATCATGAAAGCGAGGCTGAAAATTGAAACCAAATAAATTATCAGAAACGCACTCCACAAGAAAACCAACATGCTGATATATCTCCTTCAGAGACGTCTCCAAGATACTTTTAACAAAACCACCGCCGTTTTAGTCATAGTGAGCGATATGATAAATACCTTCCTCTTCTGAAGATGTGTCACAGTATGTTTGTTCAACGAGTGATACAATCTTGAAGGTTTTTTATGGAGTATGCTGAGTGTTTTTCGTGTTTAACGATCCATTTTCAGACAAAAGGAACTTATTTCTTTCAAATTGTTCCATTTTTTTACGAAAAATCCAGAGCTAAGCTAAAAAAAAGGAGCTGTTGATAGGAGATGAAGGGAAGATAATAGCCACCTTTCAAACCAAAGTTTTCACAATATCGCTGAAACTATGTAACGTGTTTTCTGATACTATATTTTCTTCAGGACACCCCGGGGCATCCAACTGAGGGGTCGGAACTCCCTGTAACACTCTTAATGACAAACATTAGCAAAATATTAAAAAATATATATACTTTTAAAAATACCCTTTCATATCCTTATCCTTTTAAAAATATCGTCAAGGAATCAATAAATATGTGTTCTATGTAACCAACTAGAAAACGAAAATTAAGAAGCGTAAATTCGTCAAAGATTTCAAAAAAAGTAGTGTATAGCATTTACTAATACTTATTACTACTCTCTATTACTCCCATGTTTGAGTTATAGTATTTTGATAATAATGTCCGTGATCGAGGAGTATCCCTTATAAAATTCATTTACTCTTTCTTAACTATTTCAGTAGCGGCTCTTTCAGTTATATTTCAGACAAACTTTTAAAGAAGGATAGTAAATAACGGACTACTTTCTTAAATCTTCAGGTCAGAAATCATTGCGTGAATTCGTCAATCTGATCCAATATCCATTTTCCAGTTACAGATAAGACATATAAAATTTTTCTTCAAGTTTGTGTGTCGCTTCTCTCACAAACTTGAAGCAAAATGTCAAGTTAATGCGGGAAAATACCTCTCTTGTCAATGATGAGGTAACGAAAAAAATAAAACATATTTATCGATAATTATTGTTCCTTGAAGATATTTTAGTTTTGTTGGTTATGCAGTTTTTTTCCCATTTTTTGTAATAAAGGGTCAGGGTTTTCTAAGGGGAATCAGGCCCGTTGGGGGTGTTCCTGGGTGTGCCGGGTTGTCCTGAGATAGTGTTCTGGGAGTGTTCCGGGCCTGGGGCCCGTTTCTCGAAAAGCCCGGAAACTTTTCGGGGCCGAAGACAAATTTTTAAAATCAAAACTTGTTGAACAGTAGCACAGTTCCTGGCTCACAAACCAGTCAATTTTGCTTTGTTAACTGATAGTTTCATTGTGTCATTGTTAAAATTCTTGAAGCTTTGATCTTGAATGTAAATACAGCAAACACAAAATAGCTCTCCAAGCCCAAAAAGCTCCCGGGACTTTCGAGAAACAGGCCTCCTGGTTTTGCAGACAACCAACGTTTGTATGACGTTTGTATGGTGGAGTCGTGTTCTTGCACCGCCCACCCCCCCCCCATGCAATCGTCTGTTATATTTCACGATTTTCTTAAGCAATAGCTTCTCTCGCTTTTAACGTACCATCTTTTTAAAATAACTTTCCTAATTTAAAGGCGCTCTTTCCAGCAGTGTTAATGGATATTCACTGACTGGTTTTTATTAAAACGTGTAGCCTGGCGATATCGCAAAAAAAAAAACGCTTGCTATGCAAGCTAGGTAAAGTGCAACGTGAACTCCTTACCAGTCGGCTACCAATAGAGTACTAACAGGGGTCCTGGGTACTACGTAACAAAAAATAAACTCAAGTGACTGACTCAACATATGCGTAATTAGGGAGTTTACGCAACGACGACGGTGACGGCTATGAAAACGTCACCTATAAGTGAATCTGCGCTGCCTCAAACTTTATCGTGTTTATTCCATCTCGTTTAATTCGTCAAATGTTGGCAAAGTTTTTTGGAGTTGAATTCTTAAGGACTGCATCAAAGTTCAGGAAAAGAAAAAGAAAGTTGTTGTCTTTTGTTACCGTCCTTGACAAAACGTGAAATTAGGCAGTTTCACGTTGTAGTCGTGCAACGACGGCAGAGAAATGTACAAAAAAGCGTGATGCACGTGCAAAGTTGTTGTTTTGCTTGTCATGTCCAAACCTATCGCTTTTTTTTTTGCCATTCTTGTTGCCGTCTTCGTAGTCGTTGCGTAAACTCCCTATTATGTAAGATCATGTAGTTTTAGCTGCAACCAGCAAGTGAAGCAAGGATTTCAGAAGAAATCTATAAATCTTCCCAGAAACAGTCTAGACTTCAGTTCCCAAGAGCCAGGACTTGCCTGTGTACAGACGCCCCTCTTCCCTGGGGAGAGAGAGTCTTTGTCCCCGATTTTTTCTGAGGGGAGGGGGCGTCTGTACACAGGCTAAGCCAGCACGCCCATTTTACTTTAGGGAACAGATTTTTGGGGCCAGACCCACTGGGTTCCCCTGAGCAATGTGAAAATGGTTACAATGATCTCCTCGATGGTACTAGATTGTTGCCTCTCCTCCCATCCAAACCCCGACCCCACCCTCCTCCGGAGAGCTTATTGAAGGTAAATCCGCTGAGTGTGTTTAATGCAGGCTCTCACTACCTGGGCGCTCTTCCCCAGTGTTTTCTCGTTTTGTTATCGTGCTGTGATGTATGATGATTTATAGGGGCGAATAGTGTTGTATAGGGGTGCATGGTGATGTATAGGGGTGTATGGGGATGTATAGGGGTGTATGGTGATGTATAGGGGTGTATAGTGATGTATAGGGGTGTATGGTGATGTATAGAGGTGTATGGGAATGTGTAAGAGTATATATATTGTGATGTATAGGGGTGTATGATTATGTATGGGGGTTTATGGTGATGTATAGGGATGTATGGTGATTTATAGGGGCGTATGGTGATATATAGGGGTGTATGGTGATGTATAGGGGTGTATGGTTATGTATGGGGGTGTATGTTGATGTATAGGGGTGTATGGTGATGTATAGGAGTATATGGTCTTGTATAAAGGTATATGGTGTTATATAGGGGTGTATGAGAATTTATAGGGGTGTATTGTGATGTATAGGAGTATACTTTCATCTACAACCGCAGTTCAAATATGAATTATTTTGTTGCGATGATTTCAACAAAATTTATTCGTTTCTCGTTTGATAAACTCGCTCGTACTCACAAGATCGCTCGCTCTTTCTCTCCTCGTGTTCTAGTGCCAAAACCGGTCCCGACCGGTTCGGCTTACGTCACACACGCA